AGAGACATTTTGTTATCATTTATTCATGTAGCAATTGAAAATATACATGCTGTCTGCTCCAGCAATTCTGTATTAAGACAGAACACCTTCATATCTACATGTGTAGCACAAGATAGTTACAGCAGTGTTGCTTGTGGTATATAAAACTCTTAAACAACCTGTATGTCCATCAATGGCTAAGTGAACTGTTTTGATCAAGTCACATTACTTATTAACTACTGTGCATAAAAAAGAAACATTTATATATAGTAACATGGATAGATCTCTACCTTGTAGAGTAAGCAACTAAGTTATGGAATGATATGTTCAGTTTAACTTGATTATTTTCTTTAATTACAAAATAATTTGATGAATATGTGTTTCCCATCACCCAGGCTAGGAAATAAAACAGTATGAAGGACTTGAAACTGCCTAGACTCATCCCTTTCTAATCATGTTGTTATCCTTCCTGCTGTCACACACCCTTACCCTGGCCCTGTGTCTGCCCCTACCCTAGATAATAGTTGTTCTGGATTTAAGCTTTTCTCATTCTCATATATTCCTTTATAATATTACAACATATGGGAAAAACTGATGGCCATCTCTCCATTAAAATTATATCATATAGTGACTATACTTATATGGAATTAGCTGATTTCCTCATGTAATAGTTCTTCAGTTTTTTCCTTTGTTTTCAAAATGGTTTTGACCATTTTAGGCATTTTGCATTTCCATATGATTTTAGAATTAGCCTCTCGATTTCTATAAATAGCCTGAGGTCTTTAACCTCTTGGATCAGTGTCTTAGGGTTCTTAGTATACAGGTCTTGCACAGCTTTTATCAAATTTATACTTTAATCATTCTTTTTGATGTTAGGATAAATTACATAGTTAAAAAAATGCTGATTTCCAATTGTTTCTTGCCAGTATATAGCAATATGATTGATTTTATTATATTGATATTCTGTTCTGAGAATTTGCTCAATTCATTTGTTCTAGTACCATTTTAATAGACTCCAGACAGTTTTAATAGATTTCTACAGACAGTTATGTCTTTGGGAATAAAGATAGTTTTACTTCTTTTCTAATCTGGATTTCTTTAATCAATTTCTTTTTCTTTATTACACTGGTTAGGACCTCCAATATAATATAGAATTGTAAGAGTGGACATCCTTGCCTTGATTATAATATTAGGGACAAAGCATTTGGTCTTCTTTGATTAAGTAAGATGATTGCTCTTAAGTTTGTCATAGATCCTCTTTATCATGTTGAGAAAGTTCCCTTTTCTTAATGTGTTGAGAGTTTTTGATAGGAATGTGTGTTGTACTTTCTCAAATGCATTTGTGCATCTACTGAAATGATCTTGTAATTTTTCTTATTTAGTCAGTTAATATAGTGACTAACTTTTGATTGTTAAAGCAACAATTGCATTCTGGGATAAACTTGCGCGTAATTGCATTCTGGGATAAATCCCACTTAGTCATAAATTATTATCCTTTTATATATTGTGGATCCAATTTGCTAATATTCTGTAAATAATTTTTCCATCTATGTTTATGAGAAATATTGGTCTGTAGTTTTCTTATCTTGTAATGTCTAGTTTGTGTTTATTTTGTTTCTTAAATATATAGGGATATATACCTCATCAGATTTGGAAAAACTTTATTACTTCTTCAGTATTTTTTCTGATTCCCTGGGTCCCTTCTATCATTCAGATTCCAATTACATGTATTTGACATCTTATAGTAGTTCTACAGATAACACTGTTAATTTGTTGAGTTTTCCATTCATCTTTCTCTTTGTTTCCTTTTGAATAGTTGCTGTTTTTAAGTTCACAAATTATTTTCTGCACTATCTAATCACCTGTTAATTCCATCCAGTTTTTCATTTTTGATATTGTGGTTTTTAATCTCTAGATGTTTCATTTGCATCTTTAAATAAAATGTCTTCTGTGTATCTACTTAGCATGTTTAATCTTTTCTATACTTTCTTGAACATATGAATAAAGTTATAATAACTTTTAATATATTTGTTTACTAATTATATCATTTTTGTCACTTCTGGGTTGTTTTCAATTGAATGATTTCTCTCTTCATTATAGTTTACCTTTTCACATGCTTAGTAATTTTTATGGGATTCCAGACACTATGAGTTTTACTGTATTTGGTGCTGGTTTTTTGTCTTTTAATAAATATTCTTGAGCTTTATTCTAGGATGTAGTTATTTAGAAACACTTTTTTCCTTTCACGTCTTGTTTTATGCTTTGCATACTTGCTTTATACTTTGTACTTTGTGACTAGAGAAGCATTTAGTCTTGAGCTAATTTTGGTTTGCTACTGGGGAAAAACCATTCTGAGTACTGTAACAGATGCGTCTAGAATGAGGCTTTTTACTCTGGTGGGACAGCAGATGTTCTTGGCCCTGTGTGAACTTGGGGATTGTTTCTTCTAAAACTGTCATGTTGTTCTTTCCATGCTTTGGGTAATTTCCTACCACACATACACTGATCTCTACTCAGCTGAAGACTAGAGGGGTTATAATACAAGGAGATGCTGTCTTTTATGGAATTTTGACTCCTTTATTATTTTTTTAAATATCTTGTCAATGTTTATTTAATGCTTAGTATGCTTTAGGCAGTGTTCTGAATACTTGGGATATATCAATAAAAAAAGAAAGATTCTCACTCTTGTGAACTGACAATTTATTTGGGAAAGACAGATATAAACAATAGATATAATATGTAAATTATAAAGGGCATAGTATGTTAGAAGGTGGAAAAAAAAGATGTGAAAAGAAGCAGGACAGGGACTGGGAGTACTGGGTAGGATACAACTTTAAATAGGCCTCATTAAGGAGAGAGATTTGTGCAGATGAGGGAATTTGGGGAATTTGCCATTTGGAAAGTAAAGAAGAATCTGATACAGGGAGCAGTCAGGGTGAAAGTCCTGTTGTAGGAGTCCTGTTGGCGTGTTTGTGTTAATATAAGGAGCTGAAGTAGAGTAAGCAAGGGGGCAGGGGGAATAAGATATGAGGTGAGGAAGGAGCAGAAAGGATCAGGTATTTGGGAACTTGTAGATTCATGTGAAGACTCCAGTTTTTACTCTCATGAAATGTTCTCATGAGGTGTTTTGCAGGGTTTTGAGAAGAGGAATGTCATTATCTGATAGGTGTTTTACAAAGATGTCAGTGAATTGTGAGAATAGACTGTGGAAGGGGGCAAAGCAAGGCAAGCATGGAAGTAATGAGGCCATTGCAGCAGTTCAAGGAGCAGGTGTAGTGGTTCAGACAAAGGCGGTAGAGGTGGAGGTGGTGAGAAGTAGTCAGATTCCAGATATATTGTGAAGGTAGAGTCAGTGGGATTTTCTAACTTGATTGAGGCAAAACTTCTCAAAAAGCTTTCTCCTTGTAGAGTGAGAAGACCGAAATTTGAATTGGTGCATATTCACCCTTCTGTGGATATTGTAAAATGCCAAAAGTATTTAAAAACTTGTACAGCATACAATGGCAAGTTGATTTTATTTAGAATCAAACCTATGAATGATTTAAGAAAGAAAATAAACCTAAGAGTATTTTATAAAATGCCATTGATTCCAGATACTGGGATTGAACCCAAAATGACCAATGAGCATGCTGAGAATACTAGATTCAGCTCCAAAACTCTGTCCTGATCATTTAATTTACTATTTCAGCATCTCTTTTACATCTTTGCATGAAGAGAAGTTATTTCTTATATAAAATTCTCTTTTCTAGAAGAAGGAAGTGCTAAAAATGCCGTCAGGCCAGCTCAACTGCATCCAAGTTCCTATTTCAGTTATTCACTTGAACTTTATTATGTAACAGCTTCTCTTTGCAGTGGTCTTCATTTGATTCAAAAATAGGAGAAACTGTTCTCTATTTTTGGAATCCTTTAGAGTTTTTTTAAAAATAAAAGTTTGAAAGGATAAAATTGTTTATACTTGTTGGTCCTCTCTCCTCTCTTTTTTCCATACTCCCTCCTTTTGTACCTTTATATATATTGGAAAACAGTTATTGGGCTTAATCATTTAGTTTCTCATTGGAACTGTTTGGATATGTTTCTGAGTATGTGTAGATTTTGTTTTGCCAGTCTGTCACTGATCTTCTTATTAACAATTGAAACTAAAAAATTAAATATGTATTACTTTGAGTTTTAGTGTTGGGATGATTAGAAGAACAGAAACAAAAAATAGGGAGCAGGGAACTAATGATTAGGCACATTCAAGATGTCCATTATTGGCTGGCTGAAATCTTTAAGAAGTTGACTATGGAAGGAGATGAATGATGATAACTATGTTAACTGCTTGCTATTACTGTTAGGGAACTGGGGAAGTTAATTATCCTGCATGTTATTTGAAATATTTAAAAATAAGTGTTTTATAGTTAGCTATCTGTATCCTTTTATTCACTTTATGTTATAACTTGCAGTTTAGGGCTTAAAAAAATTCCTTTTGAGACACATTATAGTACTAACCACAGTAAAAATGGTTTGAGGGTAATTTGTATTTTTATTGCATCAAGGTGTAGAAATGTAAGCATATCTCATTATTTTTGGACATCTCTAGATGCACCCACTAATTTTGGGTAGATCTATGTGTTCTGCTAGGCAAGAATACCAAATCTGAAGACATTCATTTAAACTGACTCTTAACCCAATTAAATGGATATTTTTATTTAAACATGAGAACCACGTTGATCCAAGATAAATATTCCTATTTGCCACAGGGAAACCTACTATTTTTGCTTCATCTCATGTTGAGTCTTGCCAATTTTTACTTGTTAGTTATTAGAAATGAAAGTGTACCATTTCCAATTATAAATTTTCTAACTTGGGAGAAAATTTAAAAGAATAATTTGAGCATATAGTGATATTACTATTTTGAGGTAGGTCTAGAGTTATATCTACATGCAAGACATTTTTTTAGTTGCCTTACTATATTATATTCCTTTATTGACTACTTAGGAGATGACACTGAATTTTTAAAAGAATACTTTTTTTGTTGTTAGCTTTTTAGTTGGAGAAGGAGCCTACAAATGGGCAGTAGATCATGGAATACCTCCTTGCCCTCCTAACATCATGACCACAAGTAAGTAAAAACTTTTCAAAATTAAGCTATATTAGCATATATACCTGAAGGTGTTATATTGCTTTTGATCCACGTAGTATCTATAGTCCCCTCATTGCTTTCTCATGCTCTTATAGAAATATTTGTTAAAGAATCCCTTTTAGGTTACTCAAAATAATTACTAACAATAAAAGCATAATACCACCCCTTAGAGAAAGAAGCAAACATAGGTCAGCATTTACCCATACTTGCCTGAGGAAGGCCTTCTTGATACTAGGTTCAAGAGAAGGAAGAACACAGTTGTGACAATGTAAAAGTTAAGACTGAAAAAGCATATCACAAATATGACAAAAGGATATATATATCCTTAATCTATGAAGAGGTTTACCAAATTAAAAACTGAGTCAATACATATAATACCCTAATAGAAAAATGGCCAAAAGTCATAAATAGATAATACAACATAATGAATAGGAAAATTCAAATTAAAATGAGTATGTCAAGTTTATTCTCTCTTAGTTTGTGAAAGTGTTTAAAATATATTGCTGCCTGTAGGAGTGTGGTGAAAAGAACATAATAAACTGTAGGCACAAATGTAAATGAGCAGAAATTCTGGGGGACAGCTAAGTAGTTAAGATCAAAAGCCTTAAACGTATATTGCTTCTAGGAACTTGTTGTTAAAGATACGGAGAAAGATTTATGTAGAAGAGTGCTCAGTGGGCAATATAAAGAATTATCAAAAAATTAGAAAAAAATCTTATGTCCAACACAGGAATTTAAGTAAATAAATGATATATTTTTATAATAAAATGTTATGAGGTAATAGAAATTGTTATCAAGGCTAATGTCTGATAATGATGAAATGTAATGACTTTGAAAAAAGTGAAAAATGAATTATACATATGTATATATATGTGTTTTATATATTATAAAAAAGCTACATATTTACACATCAAAAGACATATTATATATACTACTTGTTTTTTGTTACTTATCAAAGTAATCTATGAGTATAATGTAAATAATTCAATGAAAAAATGAGGAATCATTAATTCCAAGGAAACCAATTTGTATAAAAAAGAAATAATTATATATCATAACAATATGGATCATCTTTCAATAATAGTATTTTCAAAATGAATATTCATATAGCTGAAAGTTGTAATAAAGGGAGCCTGGAGGGAGAGAAATATGTGTATGGTTGGGAAGCAGGGAGTATGAGAGTTCTAAATTCTCATAGTCGTCAGTTCCAATTCTGGCTTAAAATCTTCCAAACTTAATTGTAGAATTCTTCTATCAGGCAAACAGATCAGGTGATCTGCCAGTTCATTTTCTGTTTCCTTGGAAATAAGCCACCTGGCACCTGTGAGTCTGGAGTGGGTGTTGTGTAGGCCTGCTGCATAACTGTCATCCCTGGTCTTCACCTCACCATAATATTGGATTCCCATTTCCTCTCTCCAGTGTCAGATTCTGTTTCCTGAGTCTCATGTTTTTCTTTTGTGTTTTACTCCTTCATTTGTTACTGCTGTTTCTGTTTCCTCTGTCTTACTTTTGTTTGTTTCAGACACTAAGTCATGTTAGCAAAATTTCTCAACTACCCAATGACCTGTGTTGTTTTCATATTCATGTGTGTGGCCTTTAAAAGCCATTTGGAAACTTTGTGTGTGAAGGCAGGTATGGGTGACCTTAAGGAAGGTGTTAGGATCAGGTTTTTTGTTGGAAGAATTCTCAGTGTTCCCCTAACAAAACCAGTGTCTCAGTATTTTTCTTTTGGGAGAGAAATCTTCCCAGCTTTGGCAAGGCAATAGCCAGTATTCTGCTGCAGAACAAGGGAAGGGGCTGGAGTTCTCCCCTTCCCTTTTTTTAGACCTTTATGTAGAACACTATTGAAGGTGCAGCTCTCAGTGATACCTACCCCCAGCAGTGCTCAATGTCCACTAATTTGGGGCCCTTCTGGTTCAGACTTTCCAGAGGTAACCTCATGTTTCCAGCAAGCACAAGGAAGGATTTAGGCATCTACATGTTCCTTAATGACATTTTCTGCCATTTATCCTGTTTTTTCAGTCCCTGGCTTTCAGAGATACCAGGTGCCTTCTATTCTGAGCTCTTCTGATGTTTCTTTGGTAGGAATTAGTTTACTTCGGTAGAGGTGAGTTTACTTTGTGACATCTGGCTTCCAGGCATCACGGTTCATCTTCCTCTACTCAGTTACAGTTTATCCATTTGCTTCTTATTTTCTAAAGTTGTGTCACTATTGTCCCTCATTATCATTATCCCTTGTGTATGTCAATCTTTTCCACCCCTTAATTTCTTTTTAGTAAGGTTTTACGTAGAGTGTGGAGATGAACTCATTCATGCGTTCTGCCAGTTTTACTTCAGAACATTTATGTAAAGAAAAGTTATAAAATAGCTATTTCTAGATATTTTGCAGGATAATGCAAATATTTTTTATTATATAATAGTATTTAAGCTCACAGTAAGAAATACATACAGATATATTATGCCATAGATTTCTTTTGACTTATACAACCAATAAGAAATATTCTCTGGCTATATGAGGTACTTGAAAGTTAAGTAATATATATTCATCTATTTTCTTGCAATTATGATGAATTTATAAGGAGAAATTATAACTATTATTTAAGTTAAAAAATTTTTGAATGCCATCCTGTTTTGGGTACTTGTCTAATCCTCAGTGAAGCTTAGCTTATCTGTTAGTGGTCATTAATGATATGCTTTATACCTGATTACCTTTAAGGGGGGCAAGTTTATAAGTTTTTATCTCCCTTCTGTGTTTCAGAAGATTTTAGAATGCCTTTCTAAGGTTTATCCTAAAAGCATCTCTTACATATCTTCACACATACTTAATATTTCATTCCTATATATAGATCTGAAATTCTATCTAGTATTATTCCTTTCAGCCTGGAACTAGCATTTTTGGTAATGTGGTAAGTATAATATAGAAAAATTCTCTCAGCTTTCATTATCTGAAAAAAATCTTTATTTTGCCTTTACTTTTAAAACATTTGTGTTGGATATAGACTTCTAGGTTGATAGGTTATTTTCTTTTAGCATATTTTCCTATTTTTTTTAAAATTGTGGTAAAATATATGCAACATAAAATCTACGATTTTAACAGTTTTTAAGTGTATAATTCAGTGGTATTAAGTATTTACAGTGTTGTATAACCACCACCACTATGCATTTCCACATTTTTTTATCATACAAAACAGAAACTTTGTACCTATTGAGCAATAACTACTCATTCCCTCCTCCTTGACTGCTTATTATACTGTATTTCTCTATGAGCTTGCCTATTCCAGGTAACTCTTACAAGTGGAGCCATACAACATTTGTCATTTGGGGTCTGGCTTGTTAAACTTAGAATAATATTTTCAAGGTTCATCCATGTTGTAACATGTATCAGAATTTCATTCCTTTTTATGACTATACTATTTCATTCTATTTTAATACTTTCAAAGGTGTTATTGCATTGTCTTCTAGATTCCATTGTTTCTGATGGGAAGTCTTAGCATTGCTTCCCTGTAGGCTATGTGTCTTTTTTCCCCTGACTGCTTTTAAGAATTAATTTCTATCTTTGGTTTCAGCATTTGAACCAATATGCCTAGTTGTGATTTCCTTTGTGCCTTTTTTTTATATTGTACCTGCTGAGTCTGTGGGTTTTTAATCAAATTAGGAAAACTTTTGGACAGTATTTCATCACATGTTTTCTTTGATCATGTGCTTTCTCTTTTGTTACTGAGACTTCAATTCTACTTACATTAAAACATTTCATATTGTCACATGTTATCGAGACTTATTTTCTCACTTTTTGTGTTTTCTGTATTAGGATTCTCCATAGATATAGAATCAATAGGAGATCTCTTTCTCTCTCTCGCCTCATCGCTTATCCATCTATCTATCTAACATTTATTATAAAGAAGTGGCCTGTGCAATTATGGAGGCTGACATGTTCCAAGATCTTCAGGGTCAGTTAGTAAGCTGAAGACTGCGGAGAGCCATTGGTATAGTTTCAATCCAAATCCAAAGTCTTGAGAACCAGGTTTGTAGTTCCAGTCTGAAGGCTGGCAGGCGCCAGACATAGGAAAATGGGATGTTTCAGTTCAAGGATGAAGGAAGGAGAAAGTCAGTTTGAAGGTAGTCAGGTAAGAGAAATTCTCTCTTCCTTAGGGGATAGTCCACATTTTAGTCCTATGAAGGTTTTCAACTGATTGGATAAGGTCCATCTACATTAGGGAGGGCAGTCTGTGAATTTAAATATTACTCTCATCCTCATCAAGCACACCCTCACAGACACACCCAAAAATATTTCACCAACTATCTGGACACCCTTTGGTCCAGTCAAATTGACACGTAAAGTTAACCAGAACACTTTTATTTGTATGATTTCTGTTTAATTGTCTGGAAGTTCGCTTATCTTTTCATCAGCAGTATTTGATTTGATATTAATCTTATATAATAATTTTTTAAAAATATAAAATACTGTTCTCAGTTCCAAAGTTTCCATTTAAAAAAAATTTTTTTTCCATATGTCTCTGGCAGTTTCCCATTGCTAACATATCTGTCATTGTTATTGTGAAATCTATCATTGACTGCTAATTCTAAAATTTAGGTCCTCTGTGGGTCAATTTCTACTGACAAATTTTTTTTCTTTTGATTCTGGGTCATGTTTTCTTGTTTAGTTGCATATCTTCTATTGTTTTTTAATTGCAATTTGTGAATTGTGGATGATATGTTTTAGAGACTATGGATTTATCGTCTTTGAATAACATTGAGTTTTGTTCTAGCATGCAATTAAATCATTTGCAGGTCACCTTGATTTTGTTGCAACCTGGGTTTAGTCTTTGTTAAAGGAATCAATTTCATTTTTGTTTTTAATCCTAGAGTTCTTTTTTAAAATTTTATTTTTTGTATATATGTATATATTTATTATTCAATATTGTTAATATGCAGTCTTATGTTGGTTTCAGATGTACATCACAGTGGTTCAGCAGTCCCCG